TGTGGGTGAGTGGGTGTGTGTGTGTAAACCTCTTGTAACTTTTGAACGGCTTGACCGATTTCATCACGGTTGGTGTCATTCGAAAGGGCTTCGCCAAACTTAGATTTCCTGTAAGTTCGAACCGATTCGGACCAGTAGATTTCGAGAAATTGCAAAAAAAGTGAAAAAAAAGTGACAGAAAACGTTGTTTTTTTTTCATTTTTTTCAAATATCTCCGAATTGGCTGAACCGATCAACTTCAAAAACTAATCAGCTCTTAACCTTGAAATCCCGCATCGATCTCTACAAAGAGCGTCAGAATCGGTTGATGCGTTCGTGAGATATCGTTGTCGAAAAAAATCGAAAAAAGTGTTTTTTTGTAATAATTCCGAAATTTTTCATCAGATCAATTTTTGAGTTCAAAATCATTTATAGAGCTCAAAAAACCACATCGATCGCCGCCTACCGCGTGAAAATCGGTTGATTCATTCAAAAGTTATAGCAGTTTGAAAATTAAAAAAATCGTATTTTATCGAACTTTGATAAGATTTTTGAGCTCGAAGAGCTCAAAAGCATAGGAAAGCTATCTCTTCGAGCTCCGAGAGCTCAAAATAACAGATAAATTGTATTTTTGAGCTCGAAGCGCTCGAAAACGTCATAAATGCAATTTTAAGCGCCTAGGTATGGAATTAGCGGGAAGTTGTAGGGATGGCCTTCAGGGTCAACCGTTTTTCTAATTTTTTTTATGATTTACACGTCGGAACGAAAGATGGCATTCAGTTTATATGCAAAAAATATTATCCGCGGAAAAATGGGAACTGACATGAATAATTCGGTATTTTATAATTCTGGTCAAAACTATACTCGTTCATTACAACTCACGTAAAAAAAACTTGGTACAAAAATAACTTCGGTAATAACTGCTCGGTACAAAACTCAAATATTAATATTGCTAAGAAAAAAAATTAGGAAAACGGTTGACCCTGAGGGCCATCCCTGCAACTTCCCACTATTTTCGTAATTAAGCGCTCAAAATTGCACTTATTAAGTTTTTGAGCTCTTCGAGCTCAAAAATTTAACTTTCGTGTAGTTTTGAGCTCTCCGAGCGCAAAAGTCTGATAGAAGTTTAATAAACCATTATTTTTTGAATTTTCAAACCGCAATAACTTTTGAATGAATGTACCGATTTTCACGCGGTTGGCGCCATTCGACGCAGTTTTTCAAATTCTATGATATATTTTCAAAAAAAAATTGATCAGACCGGAAATTTCGGTGTAATTAAAAAAAACACTTTTTTTCGATTTCTTTCGTCAACGATAACTCACGAATGAATTAACCGATTTTGACCAGCTTGGTGGCGATCGACGTGGTTTCTCGATGCTTAGAGCTAATTAGTTTTTGGAATTGATCGGTCAAGCCGTTTAAAAGTTATTAAAAAAAAACCACATTTGAAAAAAATTTTTTTCGCAGTTTTTTTAAGATTTCTCAAAATCTATCAGTCCGAATCGGTCCAACTTGTAGATAAAATCTAAGTTTAGTCGAACCCTTTCGAATGGCACCAACCGCGATCAAATCAGTCAAGCCGTTCAAAAGTTATGAGAGGTTCACATACATACACACATACACACACATACATAAATACATACAGACATACAGACACCATCGCGGGCATTGTCGGAGAAGCTTCCTTAGGACCTCAAAACGTCGAGATCTGACGAAAACTCGATTTTCAAAAAATGGGGTGAAAACAATAACTTCCCGATTTTTGAAAATTTTCAATTTTCTTAGCGATAAGTTAAAAATAAGCATCTAAATAAGGGGGCCTATAAGGGCGAATTCCCGGTTTAGATCCAGGGACGAAGCCCCAGTAGGGGATGGCGGGCAAAGCCCCCCCCCACTCTCAGGTAATGATTAATTTTTGAAATTCAATATGATTTTTCAAGTTTTTAGTCATCATGATTTTAATTCTATTTTGCTAGACTAAAATTTCCATTACAGTATTTTATTAAAAAAGAATATGTTTTTTGTTATGATTAAAAATCTGATAATTTAGTTTTTTTTTTACAGATAAACTTTTTTTTCTCATACTTCTTTTGATATTGATAATTACAATCAAGGGACACCAAATCGTTATATTAACGAAATAAATCTTAAAAAGTAAAAAATTGACTCGAATAATGGATTTTTACTACACTGATAGAAAAGTTAACTTGATTTAAGCAAAAAAAAATCTTGAACTAATAACACCATTTTGAAAAAAACATGTTTCTTGAGTCAAAAGAAAAAAATTTTTGAGTCAAGACTTTTCTATCAATGTTCAAATGAAAGCACTTTTAAAGTTCCGAACAAGCGACAACTAGGATTTTTTTGCCAACTATTTCTTGTTTTCTTCACTTCTATTCTATGGAATCATTCTTTGACCATGAAATTAATCTTCATGAAATTATTCGTATAATAATATGGAAACACTAAATCTAAAAAATTAAATAAATATTTACAAATCATTTGAAATATCAACAGACCAGACCGACTGTCTTAATTTGTTTAATCTCCTTTATTAGATCAATATACTTAATACAAGCAAAAAATTGAGTAAATACAGTAGAATAAATTAGTTCATAAAAATTAAGACTTATAAAGATAAAAATTTATTTACCAAATGATTACTCTTACTTTATTACAAGAAAATTTTTGCAACCTATTTCCTTTACTTAACTATCGCATTATTGTAATCGCGGAATACCATATTATTGATATTTATAATTGTACACAAATTTAATTGATTGTATCACTTAACTCATAACTATATTCTGCGAGCTTGATTAATTATTGTAAAACTTAATTAACTTCATTCGGATACTGTAAAGAGTATAGTTATCCTCTAAATTAAAATACATGAAAGTCTTGAAGTTAGTCAAAGGTCGAAACTCGCAAAAAACGGGCCACGATTCATTATTGGTTAAAATTTAGGCGCACGCGTAGCACGCTATTCAAATTTCTAGTAGCTTAAAAAAATTTTTGAACTAAAGAAATAGACCACTACAATTGATAATTTTTTTAAACTTAATTTATTAAAAATAGTTCATTTATTTATTTGTTTACTTTTTCCAGTTAACATACAATGAACGGAGCAGCGTACGTTTCTTCCTGTCCAACATTACAGTCAAATCTGTCCCTTCACAGTTCGTCTTACTACAGTGAGTACGGTAATACAAGTCAAAGAAGACGATTGTCATCAACAGGTGAAGCAGACACGTCAGCCACGTCGAGTTACGAGGGAAGTGAAGGCAGTTCGGAGAATAACGATGAAAATCGGTTGGAACCAGTCACACAGCTTGAACGAGAACAGCTCGAAACTTTCTTTCGTGGATTAAAATCACAGGTAATTATTTACTTTTTTATTTGCTTATCATTCTTCTTTTGGGATGAGTTGAATTAGTCGTTCTACTAAATATTATTTACCGAAAAGAAGTAACGTTTACAAAAAAAATTTTTTTTTCTCTGCAGACTAAGATTTTCAAAACAATTCAAAAATTATACGGTTAATAAATCATAGCAGAAATATTTTTTGCTTACTTATTAAAGCTTACGAATGATTCATGTAATTCCAGTAAATTACATTTTTTGCTAATCTGGTACGTGCACTATCTTATCTTGTTCTACATTATTATTTTATTTTATTTATTCAATACATAATTTAATATATTCTCACTTTGTAACTTTGTAACCTTCAATGTTTCTAAAAAGAACCATCAATTTTTATTTGTTATTAAAATAGTTCGATCAATATTTATTCATCTGTTAAAGTTAAATACACTATCAGTTTTCATTACGTGTTACGATTTTTATCAAAAACTCATCAATCAAGCTATAAGCTTTATACTTGGAAAATCCAGATTACTATCACACTAAAAAAACACTTAATATTATTATCAAATATATATTATTTACTATGTAGTGTAAATATTTTTCTGTTTCATTAAATTGAAAATGGATACAATATATAGATATATAATAGTTAGGCTCACACGTAACATAAATTATGAGCATCTAATACGATTATTATTTAAATAATCCGTAATTAAACTATTAGACTTTTTTAATTGTTCTATACCCATAAAATTTACATTTAAAAAAATGAACATCAATAATTTTTTGGAATTGAAAATTATTTTTTTAAATTTATCAATTACTTCAAAAATTAGGAAAACGATGAAAGAGTTCACTCAACACGATTACACAAAACTTACATGCGAATTTTTCCACATTAAACCCAACAGTAGGCACAATGTCTATGCACCGCTCGTCCTCGCGTTTGAAATGGTTTATCACCGTTGACTTACCACTGTTGTTGAGTCCAACAACTAAAACGTTAACTTCTTTTTTCTTCAGCCCTAGTGCATGAACGAGACGATCAAATAATTTCATACTTAAATTTCGTCACTCTTCACATTTATGTTTATATTTATTTCACAATTTAACGTCTGAACAATCTAAACATTAAACTTGTTCATGAACTACAAGAGTGTTTTCACGTCAGTTTAATCAATAATGACAGGTATAGTTCTTACATGTTGTAACATTACCTGTACCTGAATAACATAAGCTATAGTAAATATATATAAATGATCAATATAATACTTTGAATAAATTTTTGTTCATATGTATTTTTGATGCAATATTCATGGATTTAAAATTAATGTTAGTTAAAAAAATAACGAACCATAGAAAAATATAAACTTCATTATTCGAAAATAATGCTTCAATACAAGAATGAAAAGTTTGTTTAGGAAAATATATTTTTGTTTTATTTTGTAATTTAACAATTATGAAAAATTTAATAAAAGGTATAGGGATAACAATAGCTTTCTCATTAAACAAAATTATGATGAACATTCTAATGTTATGTTATAACAAAAAAAAATCTGGAAAACGGTTGACCCTAAAGGCCATCCCTGTAACTTCCCGCTAATTCCATACCTAGGCGCTTAAAATTGCACTTATGACGTTTTTGAGCTCTTTGAGCTTAAAAATACAACTCATATGTTATTTTGAGCTTTCCAAGCTCAAAGAGATAGCTTCCCTATGCTTTTGAGCTCTTCAAACTCATAAATCTTATGAAAATTCGATAAAACACGATTTTTAAAATTTTTAAACTGCTATAACTTTTGAATGAATTAACCGATTTGCACGCGATTAGCGGCGATCGATGTAGTTGTTTGAGCTCTATAAATAATTCTGAACAAAAAAATTGATCTGATGAAAAATTTCAAAGTTATTACAAAAAAACACTTTTTTCAATTTTTTTCGACAACGATATCTCACGAACGCATCAACAGATTCTGACGCTTTTGGTGGCGATCGATTCGGGTATTCAAGGTTAAGAGCTGATTAGTTTTTGAGGTCGATCGGTTCAGCCAATTCAGCCTTTGCTAAAGGAATGACGACAAAACAAACAAAGATTGAAATGTCATTATTAAATTTCATAAAATTGAGTTCATTTTTTGATTCAACGAAATTATTATAACTTATAACGTTAAAGTAAGAAAAAAAACGTATAAAATTATTTTATTAAACAACAATTCATAGTCAAGTTTAAATTAAAAAACACATCAAGTCTGATTTCTGTACACATTGTAACAAAATAGAAAGCCAATGCTTTTGTAATTGTCTAATAAACTCGAGTATAACGTATAAGTAAACGGTTTCCCGCATTAAATTTGCCGTTGAGTGTATCATTGTTTGCACATCAATGCATACTATCTCAGCTCATAGCAGATAATAGCAATCCCATAAGTAGCAGAAATCAAGTGGTGCTCATTATGCCAATTGCAAAGCTGCGATTCATTAATAATTGCACGTACTCTGATACCATTCCCGGGAGAGTGGTCGGAAGAATGAAAAAAAAGAGAATGAAAAATGTTTAATGTTTGTTTTTATAAAAAGACATCGATAAACGCTAATGAATATATTTTTCTTTTAGTTTTTATTACTATTGAAGATTTTTATAATAACAGTGCTCATTGAGCTTCTATGTTCAAGTTTTTTCAGACAATTTTAAATAACAAAACAATTAAATCAATTTATTGATCTTTAACTTAAAAACTTCCATTACTATTTATAAATTAAGTTCACAAATAATTCATTTAAGTCCATCGATCTTATAAAGATTAAAAAGTTTCAAACGACATGGTGAGTTTAGGGTTATAGCGCTCTTCCTGTAAGCCTCTCTACACGGGTCCATATGTAATAGAAATTTTCGTACAACAAAAATTATAATGCCTGGTCATGAAATGTAAGATTTTCTCGAATTTCTTTCTTGAATATCAAAAATTGAATAAAATTGAATATTGCGAGTACTTATTGTAGTTATTTATATGGTAAGTCATCTTGAAGACATCAGTTGTCGTTAAGAAGTCTTCTCTGTAAACGTACGTGGATAAAAAAGCTTCTCGCTCTGGGTAATGCAGTTCGAACTTTCAAAAAATAATGTCAGCGAGAGATAAAAGAAGATTTGCTGTTGTCGATAGATGCTTTCTTATGGGTTGTCTGATAGCCAAGTTGGTCGCAACTTTCCTTGGCCATAGGCCGATAAGTATAGTGAATCGGCCCCAGAAAGATATCTGGCTTATAATTTCAGGGTAAGTTGGTACTTATAAGATACTTCGATACTGCAAGTTTCAGCTCTTCATCTAATACCGCTTTTGATATTGTGTGCTCATGTTGCCGTGTAAAAAAATATAAAAAAATGAAACTTGATGATGAAGAAACGGAAACATTTGGAGAAAATGAATTGAATCACAGATATAAGTGATTTGAGTGGCATGTTAGAAAGAACTGAATCAAACTTATCATCGATGACTTTGTCGCAATCAAGCTCTGATGATCCATCATATTATTTGAATTTTGTATCTCATGATACAGAGGAGTGTATTGAAATTCAAATTGAAAGAACTGTTGCTACTCACAGATACTGTTGTGTGTGTAATATTTTAAATACTAATCTTGTACTTGTTCCTCAAGATGCACGTACTCAATGCTTCTTCAAGCGACAAATTTTTATTCCGAATGGAAATCGATGCTGCAGAGACCATCTGATAAAAAAACGTTTTTATGAAGAGAATTTAGATAGGTTAAAGGTTTTTTCCACTTGGAGTATTTTAAGATCGTCAGAACGAACCCAACTTATGGAAAACTTGGTTGTTGACTGTAACTCTAAATATCCAAATAGTTCAAATATTGACGGTCATTGATGAAGATAACGAGGAGGATTAGTCATGAGGATCACAGAAAATCTTTCTTACTATGTAAAAAATAATATATTTAAATATAGCGATAACTAGTGTTTAATGAATAAAAACATTGAAATAACTTGATTTTTTAATAAAAAAATGATTTTCTATTTTTTTCAACACGGCGTACCATTTATTAATATTCGTAAAAGTCATAATTCCACAGGAAATTGGATAAAGAATTCAAAAAAAATAGTTTCATAATTGTGCCAGAACTCTATCATAGTTAAAAATTAAAATTAAAAGAAAAACGTCATTTTTTTCGAGGTTCTTATGAACCAATATAGCTCATAATTTTTTTCCGAGAAGCTACCATCATCCCCCAAAACATATTAAAAATTCAAATCAATCGGCTCACGGGTTTCTGAGAAAATCATTTTTTTCTGAATTTCAGCTTTTTTCGATTTTCTCGAAAACGGTATTAGATGAAGAGCTGAAACTTGCAGTATCGAAGTATCTTATAAGTACCAACATACCCTGAAATTATTAGCCAGATATCTTTCTGGGGCCGATTCACTATACTTATCGGCCTATGGCCTTTACTGCCGCAACTTATCACCAAGTTGGAAACAAGTCTTAGAAATGCACTCGGTTGGTGTCAACTTCTTCACCAAGTTGTCAGCAAAAACTGCTTCTGAAACTTTTTCGCATCAAGTTGACGACAAGTTTCTCAAGAAATTGGGCGAAATATTGCGGCAGTAGATTGGTCTTGTTTTTCTTCGAAATTTGTAGCCAACTTGATGCCAACAGTTACAAATCCGCAACTTGACTGCAAGTTGTCGCTAAGTTGGTGGCAACTATCTGACACCAACTTAGTTGGTCTGAAACTCTGGCTATCAGGCAGGATATATTAAAACTACAAAGCTCAGCGGGTCATGAAGGTACTGATGTTGTTGATAGAAGAAAACACTTTCATAAATTCGCTCTGTCGCACAAATTATTGGCGACGGGAATGTAGCCAGTTTCACACAAACAATGATAATCGAGACAAATAGAATTTTTTGTGACACACTGTTCGTCGCACCAGCAGAGACCATTTAGAAGCGGATAACATGTTGAAACATTGATCGCCACATTGTTTTCTTTGCATGAACACTTTTTTCCACTTGAGCATTCTCCGTGCCAGGGTTCTCCACATTCCACATCATCGCTACAAGAAGAAATCGCCATCTCTGTAATCAAACAATGCAATTAGGCATTTGAATTCTATTCCATCGCGACGTTCAAGAAATTTTGAAAAAGTTATTCTTACTTATTTGATCTTTAATTCTAAAAGTAAAATCTCAAATATGTAATAGTGTTGACGAATCACTTTGATACTATTTTCAATTTTCAATTAAACGTCAACAGAAAGAAATTTATGTACTTCACAGTACCAGATTAAATTGAAATAATAAACTTAATAATAAATACAAAAAATAAACCTAAAATAATTACAAAAAAATTAGAAAAACGGTTCACCCTCAAGGCCATCCGTGTAACTTCCCGCTAATTCCATTCCTGGGCGCTTAAAATTGTACTTATGACATTTTTGAGATTTTTGAGCTCAAAGTATAATTTATGTGATATTTTGAGCTCGCTGAGTTCAAAGAAATAATATTTCTATGCATTTGAGCTCTCCCAGCTCAAATGTCTGATAGAAGTTTCATAGAACACTATTTTTGGAATTTTCAAACCGCAATAACTTTTGAATGGATCAACCAATTTTCACGCGGTTGATGCCATTCGACGCAGTTTTATCATCCTCATAAGTTATTTTCAGGTTTTAATTGATCGAACCGAAAATTTCGGAGTAATCCCGAAAAAACACTTTTTTCAGTTTTTTTTCATTCACGATATCTCTCGAATTAACCGATTTTGTCCAGCTTGGTGGCAATCGACGTGGTTTTATGATGTTAAGAGCTGATTAGTTTTTGGAATCGATCGGTAGAGCTGTTTGAAAGTTATTCCAAAAAATGTCGGAGTTAGGTTGAAAAAATCTTTATTTCTAAATATTTCGTCGAGGATATCTCTCGAACTAATCGGCCGATTTCCACGTTTTTGGCGGCGATCGACGCGGTTTTTTAAGCTCTGAAATTATTTTATATCATCAAAAACGAAACGGTCCGAGAAGGAATGACGAAGTTATGTGAAAAAAACACTTTTTTCGGTTTTTTTCGGTTTTCTTTCGTTCAAGCTATCTCTCGAACAAATCAACCGATTTCGACCGGATTAGCGCCGATTGGCGGGGTTTTTCAAGCATAAGGGCGGATTAGTTTTTGAAGTTGATCAATCGAGCCGTTTAAAAGATATTCCAAAAAAACCACTTTCAAAAATGATTTTTTTCTTATTTTTTTTGAGATTTTTCAAAATTTCTCAAAATCTATCGGTCCGAATCGGTTCAAATTCTCAGGAAATCTAAGTTTGGCGAAGCCCTTTCGAATGGCACCGCAATCAAATCGGTTCAACCGTTCAAAAGTTATAAGCGATTCACATACTTACACACACACACACACACACACACACACACACACACAC